TGTCCTCAAAGGGCCCGCTGGCCCCCTGCCTGCGCCGCCTCCCTCCGTGCTGCCAAGCTCAGCACCCCCTAAAACCCAAGTGAGCGACTCCCTAGCCCCAGCATCGGGGGCAGCCCGGATCTGAAGCCTCCCACCGTCGTACCCGTGGCCTGACTTGACCCGCAATGGCACCGTCTCCCTGCTGCCAGCGCCCCTGACAAGGCGCTGCCCAGACCTCGCAGGGGCCCAGATCAGCCCCGGGAGGTGAGAGGCACACAAGGGCATGCTTTCCAGGGGGGCTTGGGGGGAGGGGGGGGCAGGTTTTTTGCACCCACAGCTCCAGGCACAGAGATGCTCTGTTGCTTGTCATGGGGCTGTTAGATTCCCTTCTTCCCAGACCCAGTGGTGTTTTCACTTGTGGCGCTTGAAGAGCGCTGTCTGCCTGCTTCCTTGGGCAGCCCTTGGCTTTGCACGAGACCAGTCGCACAGACAGGCGTGGGGACACTGGGGCCTCCTGCTCGGGCCAAGGTTTGGGCCAGCCTTCTTCAGCAAGACAGAAAAGCCAGAGCCACACTCGCTTGCTCTGCTGTCCTCCTCTGTCTGTGGGTTTGTCTTGTTTTTTTCTTGAAGGGGGAATGTTCAGACTTCAGAGATGACCGCAGTGAACCCAAAGTGCCTGTTGCTGTCTCCTTTTGCCCCCAAAGGACAGGCTTAAACTTGTCTTTAACCCAAGCTAAATACCACCAGAAAGGCTTTCTTCCCCTTATAAAGAAAAGGAATTGACAAAGGATGTCAGTAATACATGAAATCTGTCCTTTTTGTTTTAAATTACTGTGGTCGATTTGTTTTCCTTCTTTTTCCAGCCTTTGAAAGTGACTGTCAGGAAAAGGCTTAAAAAATTTTAGGTGGTGTTTGCCGTGGGACCTCTCGGGGCTGCTCTCAGCTGCTGGCCCTGACGGTGAGGTGACTGCATGGGGGGCCGGTGCTCTGAGCCAGCTGGAGGCCCGGCTGGACATGAGCTGGGGGCTCCAGCAGCCCCGGTCGTGCAGCCTCAGGGCAGTCCGTGCTGACAGAGGGAGTAGCTGACCCCAGGGAAGCTCAGCTGTTGTCGGCACGGAGCAATGGAAACAGAAGTGAAGGAGCTGGTGCCCAAGGGATGTTTTATCCTTGAGAGGCTGGTGGGGGGAGGCTTTTAGAAATGCCTTTCCACTCCAGTTGCTCAAAGGCTGGCTGTCCTTGTCCTCCCATCCTCCCTGTCTGCTTCCCCTCCCGCTCTGCGCTCAGCCTTGCTGCAGGGACCTGCACATCCCTGCCCCCTTCCCCACAGGCTTCACTTCCCAGGGAGGCCGGAGGAGAGGGAGGCACAGCGCCATGCCACATGAAGCCTGCGGTCTTGGCCCTGGAGTCAGCAGCTCCTGCTGTCCCCCATGCCACAGCCGCTTCTTCTCTCACACAAGATGTTTTCTTTGTGTCTGGCAGCTCCATGCCTGCAGACTGTCCCTGGGAGAGAGCAACAGGATGGGAGAACTGGAGCCCCCCTAGAGAGGTGCTTGGTCCCAGGGCTGCAGGCACCAGGTTTGGGGTGGTTTTGGGACACGTGTGTGTTAAGGACTGGGGGTGCTTCGCTGGTGCACAGCCTTGCTTCAGCAAGAGCTTTGGGTGGCCTCTCATGCCACCTGCTGTGCGTGTGGCTTCTCCCTCTGACCCGTGGGCAGGTTTTGAGGCAAACGCAAGCCTGTTCCCTACCTGGAGCGCGGTGCTGGTGTGTGTTTGATTGCCATCGGTACATCTATAAGGGCATCTCAGGTTTGCTCACGTCAGCAAGGCCCAGACATCCCCATGGCAGTGCAGACACCTACGCCGCGGAGGATGCTGCGCCTGTGCTTTGCCGGGGAACAGCGCGTCCGGGACGTTTCCGTTTGGCAGGAGGCGCAGAAGGATGCAGGACTGCCAGAGCGTGGCCGCTTCCTGACGGTGTCAGCCTAAATTTCAGTAAGCACATGGAGATCTGCACTCATGGCTGGGAGCCTGTCTTCGAAACACGTGCTGCTTGCGTGACCCCAGCGCATGCGGTGTTACTGGAGAGCCGCAGGCGTGCTGTGCTGTGCCGTGCCATCAGGGCGGCTTCCCCGTGACCCAAAGCGCGCGGAGGACGAGAGCCAGGCTGTTACGGGAGATGGAAAAGGAGCCGGGCAGGCTGTAAGGATGGCTTTCCGTCCCCCACCGGCTCCCTGGCAAACCGCAGGGGTGGGATGCGCAGGTGTGCTTGGTGCAGGCAGGCAGCGCGGGTGTTTTGGGAAGATGGGTTGCAGCCTGCCAGAGAAGCCCCACGCGTGGGAGCTCACCGCTACTTGCTGCGGGCGGAGGATGCCCAAGGCCCCTTGGCCTCCCGGCCCCAGCCTTCCCCCCGGGACGGGGCTCGCCCTGTCTCACGGAGGCAGCTTGAGCACCGGGCCCACGCTGGGCTGGGGACGGAGGGGGTGTGCGGGGA